GAGTATTTATAAACAGAAAAGCAGAGGCCTCTACTTCTTAGCCTCTTTGTAGCACAAGTGTAGTCTTTATCAAGAGTGTTACATACATATATGTAATAGAGAAAAAGAGCTCCTCAAATTTTGAGAGAGGGCAAAATCCAATGAGGGGAAAGTGACCTTTGGTTTCTAAGCTTTGCAGGGTGAGGCTTCCTCCAAACTGGACTTTTTTCATTTGGTTTTGTGGGTGTAGTCTACAAAATGTCTTTGACACAATGCAAAAAAAAAGGGAGGGAGCACATGTGAGACACAGAGTTATTCCTTTGCGCACTTCATGCCAAACCAAAGCCTTATTCAGTTGTTTGCCCATGATTATAATGACATGAAGGGGAGAAAGGGGACGAGGTCATTGGCTCCATCCCCTCTGTTGTCCCCTTGTCAATGATCCTCACCACTCTCCATGTTTTGGGGGGTGAATGTCTTCCGTGGGGAGCCTAGTGTGGGCTCCTAGTGCAACCATGCGCAGTCAGGGTTCTAGATTGTACACAGAGCTTTCACAAGTAAAAATGGCACCCTGCTGCCAACATTAAGCCCCCCAAAGTGTGGAGGGCTGTGGGGATTTGTAAAAAGGTTGTGAGAGAAGAGGCAGGACCAATGGGCTAATTCATGCTCTCCCCCTTACCACTGAGTAACAGCTGAAAATAGACTATGAAATTCGCTCCTGTGAGATGTAGTGCTGGCCATCCACTCAGATGGCTTTAAAATAGGATTAGACCAGTTCATGGAGGACAAGGTGACCAATGGATACTGGCCACAATGGCTATACAGTATTCTCCATTGTTGGAGGCAATGTGCCTCTGAATACCAGTAACTAGGGATGAGAAGTGGGGAAAGCACTGTTGCACTCAGGCCTGCTTGCAAGCTTTCCCACAGACATCTAGTTGGCCACTATGAAAACTGGATACTGGACAGGATGGATCCTTGGCCAGATCCAGCAGAGCTTTTCTTATGTGCTTTTGCCAGAACTGCCCCACTGCTCACCACCCATTGGCTTAATTCCCCTTCCCAATAACTTGTGTCCATTTGGCATTTTTATATCCATCAACGAAACACTCCCAATAAGTGTAGAGTTCTCTCGCCACACAGAAAAGAAAGGGGTAACCAAGGCAGCTTCAAAAGGTGGAGAAAGTAGTCTGAGGGGTCAAGAAGGTGAGGACTAAATTTCACCAATGGATTTGGACAGAAGTCTGGCTTGAGACAGGGTTTCAATGTGAGCTTGGACCATCACAGATGCCTGCATGTCCACTGGAGCTTGTCCACTGTTGGTGCCTCAGGGATAGTCGTTTGCTGTACCCTTGTGGCCAAGGTGTTCCGAGCAGTCTTTCAACCTGACAATTCCTATTTGCCCCACATTCATGAGAATTTGTTAGAGGCTGCCGAGGGAACTACTGAATGTGATTTACTGATAGTAATAACCCTCTTTTGTCAAAGAGGATTACTGTCACTCAGCATGAAAAGGCAGAAACCCTAAACCATGGGTTTCTTAATATTCTCCATAATCTTTCTGAATCACTTATTGGAGCAAAATGCCATGGGAAGATGTAAACATATGCTAGATTCCTTTTCCTTTTTTTCTTTTTGTACCTACAGACACACAAAAATGGGGGGGAAATATTGAATCAGTATGTTTCCTGTCACTTAAAGCCAGTTCCAAAAAACCTTTTGCTCTAAGGTTTCTTAATGCTCAGCTGACTTCGGAGTGTTGCAGATCGCTCTGATGAGACATGTTTACATGTCACCCAATGGTTCATCCTGGGCATCCTTGTCAATCAAAATCAAACTAAGCAGACGGTGTTCTTTGTTTTAAACGAGGGTTCCCAGGTCATTCTGAATCCCCTTCTATTACAAACCTTTTTGAAATGTTCTGCAGTTTCAGGGTTTTTTTGTTTTTTGTTTTGTTTTAAATGCTGTACGGTAATAAGTGAGCAATATTAGTCATACTCTGTGTATATCCTTTGAAATCCGATTCCAACGGGACTACTCTTGAGTCTTCTTCTTCTTCTTTGGCGATCACTTGGAGTCGAGGAAGATTGTAATCTATGAACATGGTCTTAACAGTGAGTCAGTAAGCGACTGTGGAAGCCAATTCTGGATCCACACATCCTTCCACGGTGGGGACATGGGTTTCCAGGCGGTAGTTGATCATGGTGAGGGTTTGCCAAATGTGCCTTCCTCTTAGCACGTTTCTCCCTTTCGTCCTGAGTTTGAGCGTCTTCAAAGTCCATTACACCTTTGGTAACGGCTGTTCTCCAACTGGAATGCTCGCGGGCCAGTGTTTCCAAATTGTTGGTGTTTATACTATATATTTTTAGATTTGCCTTGAGAGAGTTTTTAAACCTCTTTTGTTGACCACCAGCATTACGCTTTCCATTTTTAAGTTCGGAATAGAGTAGTTGCTTTGGAAGACAATAATCAGGCATCCAAACAACATGACCAGTCCAACAAAGTTGATATTGAAGAATCATTGCTTCAATACTGGAGATCTTTTCTTCTTCCAGTACACTGGCATAAGTTTGCCTGTCTTCCCAGGTGATATGTACAATTTTTTGGAGACACCGTTGATGGAATCTTTCAAAGAGTTGGAGATGGTGTTTATAAGTGGTCCAGGTTTCACAAGCATACAGTAAAAATTTTCTTCAATGTTTTAATCGGCATCCAGTGTTGGTGCACTTAAAATAGTACTTAAAATAGTAATCTGTTGGTTTGGGGGGAGTTTAATTCAAAGGGTTGAAAGTCGCTCATTAATGCCAGTAGGGACTTCTGACAAGAGCTTCACAATATCTTTTTTGGACAGACTACTTTTGAGTATGATTTAGTTTGCTATCATCTTCTGGTGCTAAAAAACCCCTGCATGAAATATAAGTGAACTAGCCTCTTAGAATACTTCTAAAATTTTCTGAAAGCCCTCCTTTTGTATTCATTGAACACAGTAGGACCTACTTCTGTGTCAACCTGCATTAGATGGCTGAGCAAATCTGCAAAATACACAAACCAGTTTCCAGCAGCAGAGCAATATCTGGTTTTGGTATAACCAAATAAAAATTCCAGTGGTTAGGAATTCAGTGCCAGGAGTAACACTTTGCCTTCCCATGACTAGTGGGCTCAAATCTCCATAATGTATGCATGTTATAGAATTCAAGTTTCCTTCATACAGTATGTAGCCTAAATCACTGGCACCTCAATCCACAGAAGACAATCTGCACATGGAACTGCACAAGGCGCCCATGCATATATCAGAAAGTGTAAATCAGCAGAGCACCTCAGTGTTGAAGTTTTCTAGCCACACTACATTACTTTCAACCAATGTGCATTTGAATGTGCACACTGGAATGTGCAACTGCATGCTCATCCAAATGCACATTTTTTGGGGGGGACATGTGTGCGATGAAATTTCATTTGCACTGGAACCTCAATCCATAAAAGGCAATCTGCACATGAACAACGCTTTCATGAACATACTAGGAAACCAGAAGAGCATCTCACTGTGGAAATTGTCCATCTAGTACACTGCAGTACTTTCAATGCAATGTGCATTTGGATGTACACCAGAATGTACAAATGGATGCATATTAAAATGTGCACTGGAATCTGCATGCTGCTTAAAATAATTTTGCAGATATAAACTAGAGATACATCTAATTTATTATCTGCTTCTGATCCATATGTAGAAGCCTTGTGAATCACCTTCTCGGGGTGGAGTGAGGGTGAGAATGTGTACTATCCCTAGTGTCTGAATTTGCCTTTATGGAATCATACCTTATTTTGACAATTCCTTTTCCAACTTAATGAACTTAGGAGTTGATAGGTGGTGGGAGAAATAATTCTTGCCCTCCCCATGAGAAGCTTGCAAAACCTTTATTACAGTTCAGTTGTAAACTACAAAGGAAGAAAATAAGAGTAACTCTCCAGCTAAGCACAGCTGCTATTTTCCAATTAAAAGATCACAAGACCTAAATATTAATTTATTAGACAACAATGTTTAGTTCAAGCCTCTCCAACTACACTCTAGCAAAGAATTCATGTGTTTTGTGCTTTTATAAAAAATATATAAGAGAAGCTGTCACTATTTCTTTGACATCAGTAATTGAATATGACAAAACAGTTTATTGTCCGCTGTTGATATGCAAACAACTCTGTCCCATATTCACAATTGTGCTCAAGAGATGTAGCCAAGTGTAAAGGATTTTGTGTTTAAAAAGAAGGAGGGAGAAAACCCCCAGAATTATTGACATTTCTCCAAACATTTCCTGTAGTCAAGCATTAGACAATGGGAAGATTATCTTTTGATATCAAAAGAGGCAACTTAAAAATACAACAAAAACAAGCTGACATATCTGTCTAAGCTTACAGATAAGGATGTCAAAATATAGGCTATACAAGTACAGTATCGATGTGGTTAATATATCATAGCTCCCCCTCCCTCCAACCATTTATTATCTGTCAACATTGTTTATTTCCAGCCAGGGGTTAAATAATGACCATGTTCCATGCCTTTGGGAAGTTACTTTGTCTTACATACTGTTCACCTGTTTACTTCAGAGCAACTTTTCAGTTGCTTTTGTTTAATTCTCTGTTTTCACAGCTGGCATTTATCAACTTCAAAATGGTCTTTATGGTAAAGACCTTGCTGAATGCTGACGCTAGATTTCTCTTATAGGTACAAGATGCAACAGTAGCTCATCTTCAAATACCTATTTTGTATTGCACTTAAGGGTGGGAGGACACAAGCCATTAAAAAAAAAAATCAGTGGCCCACAAGTGTTGAAATCTCCAAGTGGCATAAAGTCAGTGGTAGGAAGAAGTTGGCAGGAATCCCACTATGCATACATTCTGCAACTTATATGGATGAATCAAACTAGATTGGGACTGCCTTATATCTGGGATTTCCCAAACATATCCAGGATTCATCTGTTGAAAACAGCATGAAACCAGGGCGTATGGCAACCCATGTCAGAAGTGTTGAATTTTTCTGGTGAATTTCTTTGAAAATAGCTCAAAAAAACTTCTTTTTTTGAGCTATTTTCAAGGAAATTCACCAGAAAAAAACTTCTTTTTTTGAGATTTCGCACACAAAAAACCTCAACCACTCTGTCCTTGGATTTTCACTTTTTGAAATATGCCAACCTTAAACAAGATCATTGAAGTTTATTCATAATATGATAGAGCCCTTCAGACACCTCACCGAAGCAACGAGGGAGAAGAAATAAAACACCATGGAGAATTAAATATAAGAGAAAAAGTAAATTTATGAATTTGTGGAGGTCTTTAAAAAAAAACAGGAAGAGCTAATTAAGAATAAATGTGTCTTGTCAACATTTTAAGCCAGTTTGTAATTCTTTAAAAATAAAACCAAAAAAAAACAGGCAGACTTTATCTATTCACTAAAAAATACCAAAAGATCAGGCTTATGTAGCAGATTCCCACTACCTTCAACGAAGCTCTACAGCCATAATTCAATGCAGCATCATATATGCAAAGGGTAGCCAACATAGTACTCTCTACATGTTTTGGACTACAATTCTCATCACTGACCATTGGTTGGGCTGACTGATGGGAGCTGCAGTGCAACAATTACCTGGGGTGTCACTATGTTGGCTACCCCAGCACATGGTACAGCTATTGGTTTCAAAGAGAACTTAGTCAAATGGGTATTGGGCATAGTAGCCAGGCTTTATTTGGGGGGGGGGGGGCAGGCTTGGGAGAGAAGCAGGACTGAGTTATCTGCATTACAGTTGGTCAGTTAGTTAAGTATTTTTATTTATTTACTTGATTTAGGTGCGCAGCTGTCCCTCCTCTGCACGCCCTGGCTACATCCGTGCGATGGGTTGCATCCAATGCACTTCCTATCCATTCCCCTTCATTCAGCTACTTCAAGGACCATATCTTCATGCCTTTTGACTCTTAAAACCTTTCATGGTGGAAAGCCCCTAGACCTAAAAGATTGCTTTTCCATATATGAATTTGCCCAGACCCTGAGGTGTCATAATCTGAGGGCTTTCTCTGTTTGCTACCTCCAAGGCAAATTAATATACGGAAAAGCAATCCTTTAGGTCTAGGGGCCTTCAACCATGTAAGGTTTTAAGAGTCAAAAGGCTTGAAGAAATGGTCCTTCAAGTAGCTGAACGAAGGGGAATGGATAGTGGGAAAGCCATGGAAGTTATGAAAAGAGGGACAAAGAAGAAGGAAAGGACCTGAGTGTTCCCCTCAAGGAGGGCACTGACCAGCCAGGCATTTTGTTTTCCAGACACCCAGGTAGGGCTTGGAAAAATGTCTGTCTGGAAGGCTGGAGAGCTCTGCCAATCTGTGTCAACAGCACTGAGCTGCGTTGACCAATGGTCTGACTTTCTATGAGGCAGCTTCTCATGTTCCTTTGCTTCCTAATTAAGCCAGATTGTCACTCCAGGGTAGAAGCAAAGGCAAACTCTTTGTATCAAACAATATGTAACTGCAGACAGCAGATGTACATGGCTTCTTTTTAAAAATTTGCATAATAGGCATTTATTATACTTTCTTTAAAAGCTGTGGTTATTAATCAAATCTTTCTATCAAAAATTCTTTTTTGAATTTAAAAAGCCCATTTTTATTTTTATTTTAAAAAAAGATCATTACAGCAAGCTCTCTTCCCCATCTAGGGGCATCACAGCCATTAATAAAAAATTCCAATTAATAACGGAAGAACAGCTACTAATCCAAGTAAATGTTTGTGTTAATAATAAAAAAGAGCTAGTTTTCACTGACCAAAAGGATTAGCGTGGGCAATTAATTTTTAAAGGCTTATATTTTTCAAATGAAGTGCTTTATGAAATGCATTCCCAGAAGGGAGCTTGAAGGCACACTTAACAAACCTAAGAGGGGGAACTGCTTGCAGCTGAAGGTTTACACCCTTTTATTTCGCAAGGTTTTAAGCAACACTAGAAGTCTAGTTTATCATTCCAAAATGTGTCCTCTGGATTTGCCACGAGCACCAGAAATTTTACAGGGTTTGGGGGTTTGTTCGCTGTTTAAGTGTGACAATGTGCTTTTCACTGACAGCCAGCGCTGCCTAGAAGACCTTGTTGTTGCTTACATTCAAAACTTTTCCACAGAAGTGTTGTGAACCTCTCTGTACAACACCAAAAAACAGGAGGCTGCCAAGAAGTAGGTTGCTATGGTGGCATCTCATAAATCATCAATTATTGTCTGTTATTATGAAGGTGACAGCCTCATAAAGCAATTTGCATTTTCAGCTAATTTTGAGGGTCCCCCCCCCTTCTCCAGACATCATTTGCTTTGTAAAAACAGCGCCATGACAACCATAGGACACTTAAGCATGTTATCAGGGTGTTCAGGCGTTCACTCGGACCCTGTCAGTTTGGCATTTAACCATCCAGACCACTTTGCATTATTGAGTAGATTATCATTACAGTTCATAAATATATTTTGAAACATGGGGAGAGCATAATAGGCAAAAGCCAGCCAAAGAAATTGAGGCCTTTCTGGTTGCTATGACAACCTAAACTGATCAATTTCCTGTCACTGTTTTAAAAAGACCCACTCTCCTGTGGCCGTAAACACTAATTACAAATGCAGTCCGTTTTCTCACATGTTCAGTTTACAGATTAAAGCAGTTCATGCCTAATTTATCATTTAACATGTCCTCCCACATTTGTAGTGTAGAGCAGAATGAATAATAACTTTACTTGTTTACAGCATTTTCAACTTAATTTCACTAATTAGGTTTGCAGTCACAAGAATTCTGGATGTAACTGGCTCCGTAAAGGGAACATCTTTTTTATTTTATTTTTGTGAAAGAGCAAGAACTTTATATAAAAACAAATAATTTGTATCTGCACAAACCCTTCTCATCTTTAAAACAGCTAAATGCACAATTTCCCCTTCAGTGTTACTGAAGAGAAAAAAAGAAGAAGGAAAGGTTCTCCCTTTTTTTAAAGTCATCCTGTGAGTTTTAGACTTTTGTTTTAAAGTTTGCATGCCCTTTGTAAAACCCAAAGTTTATGCAGTGGAGAAAAAGTTTATGCAGTAATTTAAATACTTTACAAATGGCTTTGCTGCATATGGTTGGTCATGAAAGACAGATGGTGAAATGTTCAGATTTGATTCAAGCTTTCTTCTATTCCAGTGACTCTTCCTTTAGTGTCGCATGTTAAAAGGATGTTATTGAAACCTAAGATTGCATACAAGTCTACTCAGAAGTACGGTAAGTTCCACTGAATTCAATGGCGCTGACTCAGAGTTAAATAGAGCTAAGATAGCAGCCTCAGGCAATTTTGCCAGATGGTTATCCAAATGTACATGTGTACACACACACACACAAAACAGAACCAATTGCGAAACAATTCTGATGCTCCAAATTTCTTCCCAAATGTTCTTAGAAGTTATTTTTAACATACATGTTTTATATTTTGGCTTAGAAACAAACACACACACACACACACACACACACACACACACACAAACCCAGAACCAATTGCGAAACAATTTTAATGCTCCGAATTTCTTCCCAAATGTTCTTAAAAGTTATTTTTAACACACATTTTGGCTTGTTGATATTTTTTACTGTTAATATCTTCGCATTCTCAAATCTTATATGAATCTACTTTTAAAAAATTGGATGTATCAGTTTGAGAGCCCATTCTTGGATTAACAATCGGGATAGATGTTTTATTTTAAAAAAAGTAAATGATGATATTTTCTCCCCTCTTGGAAATAAATTATTATTATTATTATTATTATTATTATTATTATTATCATTATCATCTTCATTATTAGGTCCTATGCCTTGATAGTTTACAATGATTTCTTGTTTAATTAAGTGGGATAGTTGAAGGGAAAAGAACACCAGTGGTTCTACAAATCAAGCTTACAGCCCTGCAGGAAAGATTTTAGAAAATGTATTTCAACGATGCCTTGTGCAGTACAGCTCTGCTCTTCATCAAGGAAAGATTAAGAGGGCTGGGGAACATGGTAGCATGCCTGCTCCAATGTGGTGATGCCACGATTGTGTTATATAATGCAATTAGAAAAGGTAAAATGCTAGAAAACTTGAGATTCACCCCTCTGGGGATATTGGTTGCACCACCTTACTAATACTAATACTACTAATACTAATACTATTATTAGTTAAAGCCACTGCCCCAAATAATTGTAGGAAATGGGGAGAAAGAGAATTTCGGGTTCAGTGGCAGTCTCAGCACTCAGCCTCGCCACAAAGACGGCTGCTCGACAGCTCCTGCTCTCCGCAGCTCCTCCCTGTCATCAGTTTTACAAAAGGGCTCCTTCCCGGAACCTCCTGTTAATCAACAAAAATTATACATCCAAAGAAAGTTAAAACCCTTTAGTGGGTCCCAGGGGAGGCGACAAGAGGGAGCTGCGAAGCACCTCCAACTGCTTCGGAGCCCGGCAGCTGCAGCCTCAACACTCTAGGGGCTGGGAATTCAGTCCAACAGTCTGTGCTCACAGGTGCTCCAGGCTTTTTCAAGCACCAGCTCAGTGACTTTACGGCAGGATTGCTGCATTACCGCCGAGTCAAGGTTAAAGCTCCAGTGCCCTTATTTCAAAGGGAAATTTGGTCAGCATGAAGCAATGAAAACTAATCTAAGCACAGCTAGCTGTCGATCGGGAGCACATACTGGGGGGGAAAGATGACACACACACAAACACACACACACACCACCACCACCACCACAACAAAAGGAGGCAAGGCTTTGATTTTACTTTTTTCTGTAAATGTGCAGAGAGCTAGCAAAACAGAACTCTGTGTCCTCTCTCTCTCTCTCTCTTTCTTTAAGAGCCTTTTAAATGCTTTCCAAGCAAATGCATCACAGAAAAGAGCGCTACATGGGGCCGGGGAGAGATCATGGTGGGGAGAAGAACCAGCAGAAGTTAAGATCTTTTTGCACATGGTGCTTATCTTTGGTTGGGTTTTATTAATTTATTATTAAATTTCTATACCCTCCCCCTTCTTCCCAAAGGAGCCCAGGGCGATGAATACTAAAATATTAAAGCAATACAACTAGGTGGGGAAATCTATTGAAAACAACAGCT